TGCTCCTGTGTGCTCTGGTCAGATATATCCTTCTCCCGAAGCTGCAGATTCAGTGCTATCCTTTGAAATAAATTCTTCTTGGGGGAGGGGCAGGCATCCACTTAGTATTTGGGGCTGGGACCAGCCCCCCAGACCTCTCCACTGATTCCCTACTCCGTGCCGGCATCTTATGTATTTTGAGGGCTTAGTTAATGTGGCGCTTCTAGTCAAAGTCCCTATAACTCCCACCAAAAACCCTTTCCTTGTAGGACTCTGAGCGAGGTGTGGGTATGTCTTGATGGGATTCACCTCTGAGTGATTGTAATCGGATTCACTGTGCTTTATGAGTCCTCTGTGAAACGTGAGAGGGATTCTCAGTACCAGCAAGTGCTAGGAGTGGGGCCCATCCTCTGGACCTGAGGTCTCTGTACAGCTAGCCTCCTTGATCCAGACGACAGCTGTGACATCAAAGGAGAGGCGGGGAAGCCGCAGTAGCAGAACCATGAGCCGGAGCATGAGACAGAGTGGACAGATCTTCCCAGCTCATTAAGCAAGTAAAGCTGAATGCTTTGGGGATGGGTGCTGGCTTTTGGAGTGGCAGGCCTCTGAGCTCTTAAATAGAAAAGCTGGGTGTGTTGGCCCACAGGCTGGAGCTGAGAACCTTCAAGTTGAGACTTAAAGCAGGGCACACTCTCTGAACATTCATTAGCAGTGCTGACAAAGTTTAGTCACGTGGCCTGACTGAGCAGCAATATCCTGGGCATTTATCACTTGTATTATTACCTGATAACTTCCTCAATAGATCCTTTAATCCGAATACTGCCTGGGAGTTCTGTGTGGTCATTGCAATGAATTATGGAACTCAGTAGCTGGAGAAGTGGAGAATGTTGTGTGTGATAGAACAACTTATAAGCAGCAGTTGTCTCCATACCCCAAAGTTGGATTATCCCAAGTGTACCACAAGCAAGTTGTCATTATTAAAAATGTTTTTATCTTTGATATTTTGAGAATGGTCCACTGGTGCTGAATAGGTCAGAGACCTTCAAGTATACTGTTGAACATTTGCACAAATTAGGAATTTCTCTGGCAACCCCCCAGATGTTATAGACTATGAGTCCTTTGGAAATGTAGAAGAAGTGGATGTTGTATTCAAACTTTCAATGGACGTAACTTGGTGGTTGCCAGAACACTGTCCGAGTATGGATGGCATCACAGATTGTTAGCTGAGGAGATCTCAAGAGGATGAGTGGCTTTCCTTTGAAGCCAGCCAAGGCAGCTAGTGGTTGAATCAGAAAGAGCACAGTTGTAAGTAAATAAACAAGGAAGGAAGGAAAGGTGGGCTTCACAGAACCCTAGCAAGCCGACGGCAAATGCTTAAAAAGCCACAACCACAATGGCATTTAAAGAACTTATTAATGAAAATAATTTTGCTAAAGCTGTCCACTTGTATTTCTGTCATATAACCCATAAACCAATTGATTTTGAGCCCATTCCAATTCATGTGACCCTACAGAACAGAGTAGAACAGCCCCAGAAGGTTTCTAAGGCTGGAATTTTTAGGGAAGTGTACTGGTACACCTTTTTCCTGCAAAATGGGTGGTGGGTTCAAACTGCCTATCTTTTTGCTAGCTGTTGAATGCTTAACAGTGTGCCACCAAAGTTCTTAGGGGAAAATAATTTTTAAACTTTGCATTGTGAATTGGGTGCAGATTTACAGAGCAGATGATCAGTTTTAAATTCCACAGTTTATATTCACATTGTTTCATTTCATTGATTGTAATCCCTTCAATATAATGTCACTTATCCTACTTGATCCTTGTCTTTCCTGTTTCTATTCCTCCTAGATTAAAATAATTTTGAAAGATCATAATGTGGGATAGACTTTTCAAATGTTCCTAAAGGAATCTTGTTAAGGCAATGACCCCTCCCCCCACCAAATTTGAGGAGAATGGCCCCAAAAGAGATTCTAAAAAGATGAGCCCAGGTGGAAAAAGATTATGAAAAGAGTGGCCCTAAGCAGATAACTGAAGATGAGCTGGAGCTTGCTCAATCGTCTAACAGAAACGAAACAAGAAATGTCTCGGAAAGAGTATCTGAAGACTAACCGAGAAATGGGCTGAATGGGGATTTGGGAGAGGACAAAGGGGACATGAAAAAGAATGTGAACGCTATGGCTCTAACAAAGCATTTGATGAGGAAGGCCCTGGGGGAGTTTGAAGAAGTTCAGATGATTCCCACCCCCCTCAGGTATTATTTTCTTTTCTCTCTTTTTATTCAATCTTTTGTTTTCTTTTTGTTCTGTCTCTGTTATTGTTGGTTTTGCCTCCCTATATAAGATAGGCATGGGAAGCAAGCTCAAGGAGAAAGCAATGGGACCTATGGTTCTGGAAAGACTTGGCGGAAGAAGAGGTGGGGAAAGGCAAGGTGAGCAAACAATGCCATAGACCGGGGAACAACTAGGGAATTAAAATCAACAAAGAAGAGGACACAGAGACCCTGGAGGTGTTGGAGCACAGCAATCTAGCTGAGAGGAATTACTAAGAGGCAGAAGAAGAGAGAGGATGATAGTCAGGCAGGAGGAAGGTGAAAGGAAACAGAGGAAAGATCTATGGATAGAGGTATAAACATAGGTGTATACATATACAAATACATTAATTCATAAAAATAGAGGTATTGACCTATGTACATATATTTACATGGCAATACACTAAGGTAGTGGACGGACTTTGGGCATCTGCTCAAGACCTGCCTCAACACAAGAACACTTTGCTCTAACAACTTGGCATTCTGTGATACTCACCTTCCCAACACAATCATTGAAGACAAAATGTGTGCACAAGCAAATGTGGTGAAGAAAGCCAATGGTGCCTAGCTATCAAAAGATATAGCATCTGGAGTCTTAAAGGCTTGAAGTTAAACAAATGGCCATCTAGCAGAGAAGCAACAAAGCCCACATGGAAGAAGCATACCAGCCTGTGCGATCATGCGCTATCCATGGGATCAGGTAGCAGGCATCAGAAGACCCAAAACTAACAAACAAACAAAAAAAACCTATATTGTTGAGAATGAAAGGGGTCAGAGCAAAGACCCAAAACCCATTGTCTGTAGACAATGGGACATCCCCTTACAGAAGGGTCACAAGGAAGGTAGGAGTCAACCAAGGTGTGGTATAACACCGATGAAATACACAATCCTCTGGTTCCTTGAGGCTTCCTCACCCCCAACTAACATGACCCCAATCCTGCCTTTCACTGCGGGCTAGACCAGAGCATGTGCACAGGTACACATAAGAGATAAAAGCTCATCACACACAATCCAGGAACAGGAATGGGAGTAGCCATACCAGACGGGTAGGGGGAAGGTGGGGAGAGGAGCTGAGGAAAAGGGAACCAATTGCAATGATCAATCCATAACAACCCCGCCACCCAAGATGAGCAACAGAAACCATAGGGGAAGGGAGACAGCAGCTGGTATAAGATGTGATAATAATTATAATCTATAATTTATCAAGGAGTCAGGGAAAAAAGAGGAGCTGATACCAAGGGCTCAAATAAAACTAAATGTTTAGAAAATAATGAAGGCAACATATGTACAAATATGCTGGATACAATTGATGTATGGATTGTTATAAGAGCTGTAAGAGCCCCCAATAAAATGATCTTTTAATTTAACAAAAGCAGGGCAACACAAATGGAAAAGGCTTTAATGATTAGTGATATAAAATTAAAGATAATTAAAACACAAATGAGAGTATGTAAAGATGCTTATGAAAAGGAAGAGAAAGATGAAGCTAAAGAGGAAGATTAAAAAGATGCAGATGAGAAGATCGTTGATGAGGTTTGGAGAGAGAAGTCTGAAGAGTGATGAGGACTGCAGATTTGAACTGGAAATGCTGGGCCTCTAAGGGCAGTCACGGTCCACGGGCACGATCTTCGAGATAAGCAGAGATGAAGATGACATTGGGTCCTTTAGAGTTGCTCTATAGAGAGACTCCTTGATCTTCAAGCGCCCTGCTTTCAGGTAATGGATGTGCTATAAAGCTCGGGTGACGCAGTGGGCCACGCATGGAGCTGCTAACTACAGAGTCAGGAGTGGGTTTCACTTTGAGGGAGAAAGATGCGGCTGTCTGTGCCTGGAAGGCTCAAAATCCCAGTGACCCAAAGGGGCAGTTCTACTTTGTCTCATATGGTTGCCATGGAGTTGACTCAATGGCAGTGAGTCAGGTTTTCTTGGGGAGAGACAGGTGCATAGTGATGGGATGCCATCTGACTAAAAATGTCCGTTTTTACCATTGCTTAATAATTTTCAATGTGTGTTAAATTACTATCCAATTAAAACATTAGTCTTCATGCAAGTGAAAAAAAGAAATGTGGAAGATAAATGCAAGCATAGCATAAAAAGAGTAGCTATGAGCAGATTAAACGTTCTTATTAAAAAAAAGAAAATCTTGATTTAAAATACAAAATGAAAAACGAACAAACCTAGCTCCATAACATGAGAACTACATGAAAATAAAATTATCCATACGGGCTGACAATATAGAAATGGAAAGACATTAGATAGTAAAGAAAAGGAAGCCTTGTGCAAAATGATATTGATCTAGCAATAGAGTTCAGTAAAATCAGCTATTAAAATATTTGATCTGGTGATATAAAACCCTAAAGATACTCATTCTTGCACATCTTTAAATATATCCAGAGATTTTGTTGTCATTTAATTTTATTGTAGCAGCATCTGCTCATTACATTTGCTTGCATCTGTGTTATATTGCTCTTATCTTGTACACAAGGCACAAAAATGTGAATGCCCAAAGTATCAAGACAGTGCACAGTCGACAGCCTCCTCCATCCAGATATTCTTCAGCCTCTGAGCCCAGGATGCCACCATCCCCTTTCTGTCCTCTTCTGCTGCCAACTCAGGAGCAAAATTGATCTGAGGGGCCAGGACTTTAAATCCGCAGAAATGCAAGACGCCATGCTAAAACACAAGGAAAGAAAAGAGCTGCTAAGAAACAAGCCCACTGGCATCATTTAGTCAAATTAAAAGACTAAAGAGATATGAAACAGACATTCAAAAACGAGCAGAGCGACTTTAATGCACTAGACAAGCTAACGCCACAGAACTTTCTGACAGCATTAGCATGCTGGGCTTTCCGAAGGAGGGGAAGAACTCAGGCTAGATGGGTTTTCCGAATTCTATTATTACAATTGAGATTAGTCTGTGATCTTTGCTACTGATTGGAACATTCAAATTTATACTTTTGATCACCCAGGTGGACAGTGAACCCTCGTTTATCGCGGTTAATCGGTTCTAGACCCTACCGTGATAAATGAAATTCCGCGAAGTAGGATTCCTTATTTGTAAATCAAATATTTTCGTAGTTAGAGCATAGAGGACATGAAAAAACCCCCTTTAGTCACCATTACTCTCGTATTACCCAATTTATTAAACGAAAAAGGGAAAATACAGTAAAACATTTTGGACGTTACAATGATCATTTATTATTTATTATATTATTTATGGCATCAAGTGTGTACAGTATGAGCCAATCAGTGGCAGTAATGACAGAGCATGCGCTGTTACGCAAAAACCGCGATAGAGTGAAGCCGAGGAAGTCGAAGCGCTAAGTGGCGAGGGTTCACTGTACTATCTTTAGACGGATTATTCTAGGTTAAGGTGGCTCTACTGACAAAGTGCCACCATAAAACGCTGCCTGAGACACATGGTAAATGGAAACAAAGAAATGTAAGTAGCAAGTAGTAAGCCATTTATGAAAAAATACCTCTGAATGTGGATACATAGGCATAGATATGAATAAATGAGAGCTGAAAATAAACAATATACGATGGTTCAGGATTTATTTCTGAGGGTAGGGCTAAGCAGACTGGCTTTGTTTTTTATACTTCACATTTCCATGTTTCTCTACAGCAGCAGGTCTCAACCTGTGGGTTATGAATCCTTTTGGGGGTCAAACGACCCCTTCACAGGGGTCACCTGATTCATAACGCAGCAAAATTACAGTTACGAAGTAGTAACGAAAACAATTTTATGGTTGCGGGGGTTGGATCACCACCACATGAGGAATTGTATTAAAGGGTTGTGGCAGGAGGGAGGCTGAGAACCACTGCTCTACAGCACGTGCTTCTGACAACTGGAGAAAGTAGTAATGTTTGTTAAACTGGAAGACTTAAAACTTGACCCATGGCCTAATGAGAAGGAGGTTTCGGCAGTATCCTTTCCCTCAGCCGAGCATTGCTAACTGGAATTCACTGTCTGTTCTCCTTTCGAAGACCGCTTTGCCCTGGGGACATGACACTCCTCCCCTGTGTGATCCTGACTATAAACCCTTGTGTGGCTTACCCCTCTCCTGTGGCTCTAGGCAGGAGTACCCACAGTTCAACGTGTCCTGAGCAAGTTGGACCTGGAGACCAACTTCACCTTGGGCTGCAGGTCTCCTCAGAGTTTGGGGAGAGGCCGACAAGGCCTTGGCCTGGAGCTGACACCCTTCTTTTCTACCTCCAGCTCTGTCTTAGAGAAGGGACGGTGCTCAGGAGGATCACCTGATCACCAGACAAGCTTTGTGCACGGTTTCCCACCGTCTCTTCAGAGATAGTAAAGAGAGCCCCAGGTGTTGGGGAGGGGTATCCTCAGTCCCTGAGTCTTAGAGGTGAGTGGTGATGAGGAGGACATGGGCACTGGATGCCAGGCGATGGTAGAGGTTGAAGGAGCAACATCAGAACTGCAGGCTGCTCTACCCCATGTGCCTGCTGGAGCACTGAGCCTCTTGCCCACCCGCACCCAGCCCCCTAACATACACACCTTTCCCCAAGGCCACCCTCAGTGCGGGCCTTCATTCACGCAGACATAATTCTTCTAGACAAAAATGGGAACCAAATGGTAAGGTTTGGACTTACATGAAGTCCCACTTTAACAGTCAGGGGAAGCCACGGAGAGTGGTGGCAGCAGAGTACGATGGTCCCATGCCAAGGAGCCAAGTATGGTCCACCTACCTGCAGAGGCCAGAGGAAGTACCGAAAATCTCCAATGGCGCCATCCTTGGTGAACATCTCTGCAGTGCCCCCTGTGGTTAGTGAGAGGAGTGCCATCTTACCCTGCCAAGAAGAAGACAACTTGTGTGCGCTGGAGAGCAGCAGGGACGCCCTACCGGTCCGAGGGCTCCCCGTGAGTAGGAGGGAGCATCTGTAGTCACTTCTCTCCAGGGACAGATACAAATGTAATCTCTCTGGTAGGCGGGCCCCAGGTGACGACGGCCCAACAAGAGGCACCGTCGTGACCAAAGGAAGTGGGCTATGTGGACATGGACATGTTCAGGCTTCTGACAGGCATCAGGTTTCAGGGGAGCCGTCTGTGACCTGGGCCTGGTTGAAGCAGTGACGCTGTGGGACTGCCACCAGAAGTGAGCGGAACGTGGCCCGTGCGCACCGCCTCACAGTCGGAGAGGAGCCTTGGCATATTCAGACCACCCTTAGGCACACTTAGTGTCCGAGGCCTTTCACATGCAAAGCAATCCTTTATTGGTAAGAACTTATTTCAGTAATAAACCCATAGCTCCCTGTCAATGAGCAGCTCCCAGGGCTTCTGAAGATCTCACCCTACAGGGAGGAATTCCCTTTGTCTTGTTCAGCCATGGAGAAGCTGAATACCACAGCAAAGATCGAGTGTAGCCTGGGTTCAGCGCTTCATCATGGAGGAACCCCCCTCTCTGGAGTCAGTCTTACCTGCTGCGAGGACACCTCAACCTGCCCCAACAACTGGCCCCATGCCCTCTTGGATGTGCATGGATTGGCACGGGCATGTCTATGTCTGCAGTAGAGTAAAGGCTCCGTGCCTTCAGAAACTATGTGGACCACATGCCTGCCTGGCGTGTGAGACACTGCACACATTACTGGGCAATCAGAGTGGCAATAAAACAAGTATAAGCACAACCCGGTGAACCGACCCACCTCACACACACACACAAATTCTTACTCAAAATCATGCTCACGCACGCTCTCACGCATCCCATACGTTCTTTCTCACACACATATACACACACACGCCCCACATCCGTCCCGGCCCCAGACCACATACCTTGAAGAAACCAGAGTCATGGAATCCAGGGAAATCGAAGGCAAACCCTTGACAGAGGACTCGGTCCATCCAGCCCTTCAGGATGGCCGGCACACTGAGCCAGTACAGTGGGAACTGGAGTGGGGCACAGGGAGAAGCAAGTGCTGTGACTGCTGGGATCTCCCCCCTTGATCCTATTTGATCATTCAGAGCAAAGCTTGTTCCCGGTTTGGCATCTGGGCCGGTGGGCAGCAGAGGTCAGGGGTTATTTCTTCCCTTTCCTCCGATGCTCAGTGTGGGTGCAGTGACAACAGATGGGGTGGAGGTGACTCTGAAACCCCAGGGAAAGCCCCTGAGCATGCAGAAAGGGGTGGGAAGCCCTGGTGGACGATGGCGCTGTGGTAGCAATCGAGAGACTGAGCCAATCAAGAAGAGAGGGCAAAAATGATAGTGTAAGAAGGAGTACGGCCTCTGCGCGTGCTGGGGGGTGGCAGTGGGGGTGGAGGGTGGGGGTGGGTGGGAAAGAAGGGCCTTACTGGCATTTGGGAATCAGGTGGAGTTTGGTTCTGAGAATCTGTGCACTTTGACACCTTGCCTTCTGATGAGCTACACTAAGATCTTCCTGAAGTTGTCTCTGGTTCAAGTCCAAGTCCTAACACTGCTCAACAGCATCATCGATAAAGGGTGATGCACACAGATGATAATCTGGTGCCAGAAGGAGAAGCCCTGGTTCCTAATGCTTTCAACCTACAGCTTGGCGGAATCCCGGGCCCCACACGCTGCTGCTGTGGGATGTTGGTGAGCTGCCTGACCTCGCTTTGCCTCTTTGTCCAGACAAATGGGGCTGCTGATAGCTCCTCCCCACAGCCTTCCACGGCATGCTCCGGGTCCGGCACAGGAAGGGCCTGGGAGAGGGGGGCCATGGTAGCAATGGTACACACGGCAATGAAGGAAATGTCCACTATTTGGAAGGAGACAGTCAATGGAGAGTACAGACTGTGTGGGCAAAGGATCGGGACAAAGGTAATGGAGAAGGGGAAGAGAAGGGGAGTGGCAGAAAGGAAAAAGTGTTGTAGAAAGAGTGGGCCTGGGCGCACTGCAGCTGCCCACTTCCACGGATGCACTTGGGCTGGCAGACTTTGGGGTCAGGGTCACGCAGAAAGGTCCTAAGAATGGTTCTTAGGATCATCAGCGCGTGAGAAGGGGAGGTCACCATTGAATCCATTCTCCTGGCATGACCATTGGTCACCTAGGTCAAGGTACTCCACTCCCTCTGCATCACCAGGATGAAAGAACACCCTGTACTGTGACCTGGTCAGTCAGTCCAGGTCAGTTGGTAAAGGAAGGGACAGCTGAAGGGAGGGGTGCAGAGAGAAGAAGGGAGGGGTGCAGGGCCAAGAAGGGGAGGCATGTCCACGCCCCTATCGGAGTGTGCTTGTCCCTTTATGAAGGGCTTGTGACCTTCACAGTCAAAGTGTGCCATTTCCTCTTGATCCTGACCCACTGGACCCGGCTCCTCACGTCCACAAGGAAGGCTAGTCCCAGCAGAATGGTATCTTGCTCTCCCAGCCACTTCTTGCCCTCAAGTAGGGATGGCAGCAGGAGACAGCCTGGGTCAATCAGATCCACTCCTTGGGGGGTGCTGGTTTGGGATTAAATGAATCTAGTAACTGCAGGGCTTGGCCTGTGAAGCCAAGACGCAAGTCCCAGGAGAGAGGGCTGTTGGCTCCAGCTCCGCCAGGAGCCCCGCCATGGCCTATCTCACTGTCCAGCTCAGGGGCAAGTGACCGGAGCCCTTATAAAAGGTCCCTCTTTTCCCTAGCTGTAAAGACTCCCTCAAAGGCGCATGTGTCTGCTTTGCCCCCGGCTTACAATCACACACAAGGCTTCACACCTGCTCAGTACTGCAGCCAGCGATCTGGATACGTGAAAGCCGCAGCCTGGTTTAGTGGGACTTTCTGGGGGGTGTTTCGCCTCTCTGAGGCTTCAGCTCCCTGGACCATTTGTGAATAAATACAAGGGAGAGGGCCTGTGAGGAGCCAAGGAGCAGAGAGGGCAGCTGGTGCTCCTCTCAGTGACCAGAGAACTTCAGGGAGCCGGTGCTTTGGCCAGAATTGTCTTGACAAGTGCTGTGTAGACAGACCTGGCTTTGAGGCAGCCCCTGCACACACAGGGAGGGAATGCAACCGGATCTGGAAGACGGAGACATTTCATGGGCCCCTGGTCGAGCGGACAGTTGTTCCACACTAGGCACTTGAGGGCCAGCAATTTTATAGAGGTGCTATCAGCTACAAGCAGCTCCTTATCCAAATAGAGGATTGAGATGTGTTCAAATGTGCCCAAACTTAACAGCACTTTGAGGAACAGAATGAGTCTGTACATGTGTTGACTCTAAGGTAGTAGATGTATCAGAGGGAACACGAACCTGAAATATCACTAGGTCAGCTTCCTGAACCTTCTTCTGCTCATCAAGTATATCTCTGGCCAGAGACTTCTTCTTGTAGGCTTCATAGGCTTCCACCGCATAGTTGAAGGGCTCAGGGTTAGAGAAGGCACCTGGGAGGAATAAGCCACATTGTCTCAGCCCAGTGAGCATCCATTGCAAACCCCCATGAAAGTTGTATGCTATCTGGACCATCAGGGCAACTCAATAGATAGTCTTTGAGCCTGTAGCAGGCTTTAGCACTTGGGTTAAGGAATAGAAGAGGAAGATGCTATCCTAACCTTATATTCCTGGGTTCAAAGAAAATCCCGTGGAAGAACTAGATAAATGATCACACGATTAATGTACAGAATGATTATTCGTTAACCTAGTGTAATGCTGTGCTCAGAGAAGCCTCACACCCAACAATGCAGGTGCAGAGCTGTGTCTAGTTTGGGAGGGTGTGACCAATCCAGTGGTGTCCCGAGGAAGGAAAGGCCAATTCTTTTGTGTTGGAGAGGAAGGATGCCCGAGAGCATAAATGACCAAAATTATTTGGCCTACCACTCCCTTTTCAGAAACAAACAAAAACTCAGCATCCACTTCGCAATTAAAAACGTTTGTACTATAGACTTAATCCAGGATAAAGGGTAGATATCTACTTCTGCTGGCTGCTAACCACAAGGTCAGCAGTTTGAAACCACCAGCTGCTCTGCAGGAAAAAGACAGGGCTTTCTACTCCCATAAAGAGTTACCATTTCAGCATACAACATTCCCTAGTTCTTGAATGCTTCCTCCCCGCCCCCCAATATCATGACCCAGTTCTACCTTACAAATCTGTCCAGACCGGAGTACAGACATTGGTACAGATAAGAGCTCTTGATACATGAAATCCAGGACAGATGACCCTCTCAGGAACAGTAGTGGGAGTAGTGATAGCATGAGGTAGGGGGCGGGGGAGAAAGGGGGAACTGAACACAAGGTTAGATATATACCCCCAGGGGGATGAATAATAGAAATGTGAGTGAAGGAAGTAAAATATGAAATAACAATAAAAATATATAATTGACCAAGGATTCACGAAGGTAGGAGGGTGAGGGAGGGAGGGAAAATGAAGACCTGATACCAAGGGCTCGAGTAGAAAGAAAATGTTTGGGAAATGATGATGGCACCATATGCACAAGTGTGCTTGATATAATTGAACTATGGAGTGTTATACGAGCTGTGTGAGCCCCCAATAAAATGATTAAAAAATAATAAAGAAACAAAACTCATTGTGTGTGGGGGGGAAGGGTTACAGTGGATTGTGATATGAGTTGTATGAGCCACCAATAAAATGATTTAAAAAATAAAGAGTTACCGTTCCAGAAACCCACAGGGACGGGTCTGCTCTGCCCTCTCGGGTCTGGTAGCTAGGAGGGAGAACGGGCCTCTGGGCAGTGAGTTCGAGGGAGAGACCATGTAGTGCTCCCCAGGAGGTGGCATGGCTCATTTGGGGAACATGTGCCAACAGAAAGCTTCACAAGCCTGGGCAGGAGTTGGCTAGGCATTCTGGAGCACGGGAAGTATTCCGTGCAAAGGTGGGCAGGGGTCTATGCACTAGGCTCGCAGGAAGGATTACGCTGTGGCATCAAGCTGCATGACAGGAGTGCTGCCACTGAGGCGAGCCTGCCAAGGAGGCTGCACTTTTCCCGCCACCAATGGGCAGCCATACGAGTCTTAAGTGAGAGAAATAACGAAGCTCTCAAATCTGGGTCAGTCAGGCTCTGTGTAGGAACAGTGATTCCAGGAAAAGCCCGGGCAGGGCTCTGTCGCCCAGAGAGGTGTGAGGGGGAATCTGGCAGGAGCAATGGGAACAGGAAGGAAAAGGGTTGAGGGGCCAGAATTGACAGCAATTAACACAGAGAAACTCTGTGTTTCATCTGCCCCTTAATAAGGATTCTGGCAACCCAAATTATCCACAAAGAGCATTGATTTGTGTTGATGACAGGTTCACTGGAGTCCCTGGATGGTGCTAGCAGCTAACAAGCTCAGCTACTAACTGGGATGTTATTGGTCCACCCCGCGGCACCTCGGAATAAAGCCCTGGTGATACACATCCAAAACAATCAGTCAAAAACCAATGGAGACAGTTTTATTCTGACTCATTTGTTCACCATTTGTCAGATTCTACCTGATGGCCATTGGTTTGGCTGGTGCTATTCATGGAACATCTGTTGCACATCGGGTGCCATGGAAAGTACTCTCAACACTCCACCTCCCTGACTCTGATCTTTACAATAACCAGTGGGATGGGGGTCATTCCCCAACAACAAAGGAGAAAAACAAGGCCCAATGAAAGAGGAATTACTTTTTCATGCCCCAGGGTCCTAAGTAGCAAAGAGGACTCAGAGGTTGGATTACCCCATGTTCAAGTTTTCGACAACTACACCATTCCTTAGTCAGAGAAAAGTCAGAATGAGGGCTGGGTCAACAGACTTTCAACAAATCAATAATTAACCATTTAGTGTTCTGAGTTTCCTCTTTGATCTATAGGCATTTGACTTTCATTCAAAGAGTACGCTCTGAGTGATTTCGATGTATAAAGCTCTGTCTTTACATGAAAACCTATGAGATTGTTGTAGATAAGAGGTTGTGTTTTATCAGTAAAGTGATCAACAGGGCTTTGGTTTCTTACATTATATGGCACCTATCGCAGATATAGTTTTGATAACCGTTAGGGATTGGAATGAGCAAGTTAGAAACAAAATATCAGCGGTTGAAAAATATAGCTATGGTGCAGGAGGCTGCAGATCACATGACAGAAATCTGGCAGACCAATGACTTACTCATTGGAAATACCATTTTTTTAAACAACACATTGATAACCAAACATGTCGATCTTGCTAAATAGATTACACTGGAATTAAATAGACTGTATCTGTGGGAAGAGACACGAGGGAAACTCAATATCATCAGTCAAGGTAAAACCATGAGTTGACTGCAGAACAGATTTTGAACTGACTAGACTCAAGTTCAAGTAGAAGCTGAAGGAAATTAAACAAGCCCACAATAGCCAAAATACGTTCCACCTAAATTTAGAGACCATGTGAAGAATAGATTTGAATACGAATAACTGAAGACCAGAAGAATTGTAAAATAACATAAAGGTCGTCATACATGAAGAAAGTAAATGGTAATTAAAAAAAAAGGAGAGTGGGAGAAGACCAAAATGTATGGTGGAAGACACTTAAACGTATTGACACAAAGACGCAGTAAAAGAAGTAGAAGATTTCAAAGGAGAGCTCTAGAAGACAAACACAGACTTATGATGAACTGTCTAAGACGCGAACGGTGGAAGAGCACACTCATCCTTTCTCAAACTGAGGGAGAAAATCAAGCCCCACTGAATCTCAGAAGGATTCCATGGACACACTATCAAATGACTCCGGGAAGCATCAAAAGAAGATGGAAGGTATATGCAGTCACTGTACCCAAAAAAAAGGCAGTTCCCCCTCCACCATTTCCGTAGAGAGCTGGGTCGGCATAGAGCCTGCTGGGGTGTTCTGTCGCCAGTTGCCTGGATGGCTCATTTGGACCACTAACCCAAGGTCGGACAGCAGCACGCCACGGCGGAAATGATGCCCTCCAGTTCAGTCATGATGTACCGCCTCAGAAGCCCTGTGGAGCAGCTGCACTCTGTCCCCCAGGTTGGAATGGAACTGACGGCAGTAGGGTGGGTCATGAAAATAGCCCAAGCAGTTTTCCAAAAGAACCTGGCAATAGGGGCCGTACAGCTCCCCACACCCAGGGTAAGAGCTTCGGGAAAGGAGTGGGGCATGATGCATTCATGCACATTTATTGATTGGATCCATCCAAACTGCCTTATTGCCTCACTCCTATTATTGGGGTCTCTTTCAGAGTGATTGGCAATGGTAGCTGAGCACTCCCTAGTTCTTCTGGTCACGGACCCATGGATATTGGTGTCTGTGGGGTCCATTCGTCCTTTGGATTAACTGTCGTCTGTGTCTGGCTTGTGCCACTCTTCCTTGCTCTGGATGGGGAGAGGCCATTAGTTGCACCTTGGATGGCTTTTCACAAGCTTTTAAGACCCCACTCACTATCAAGTCAGAACAAAGGGAGGGTGGCTGCATGTGTTCAAATCAGGGAAGGTGTGGCATCCTTTCACCTGACTTATTCAATCTGTATGCTATGCAAGTCATCCAATCAGGATGAGAAGGAGTAGCTTGACTGCTAACTGAAAAGTTGGCATTTCAAACCCACCAGCTGCTCCATGGGAGAAAAGTGTGGCGTGTGCTCTCAAGACCACAGCCTTGGAAACCCTGTGGGGCGGTTCTGCTTTGTCCTAAAGCGTTGCTATGAATGGAATTTATTTTTACCGCAAGTGGGTTTGAGTGTATGTGAGTGCAGATAGATGACCTCACTTACTGAAAGCAAAGATTATTTAAAGCACATTGTGTCTGGGGTCTTAAAGGTTTGAAGTTAAACAAGCAGCCAGCTAGCAGGGAAAGCAACAAAGCCCACATGGAAGAAACATGCCAACCCATGTGATAACAAGGTTACTACTGGATCAGGTATCAGGCACCAGAAGACCCAAAACAAACAATCATATCGATGTGAACGAAGAAGGTTGGCATGGAGACCTAAAGGTCATCTGTTGACAATTGTACATCCCCTCATAGAAGAGTCACAAGGGAGGGACGAGCCAGCCAGGGTGCAGTGTAGTACTGACTAAACATACAACATTCATCTAGCTCTTTAATGCTTCCTTTCCCCGACTATCATAACAATTTCCACCTTACAAATCAGCTAGACCAGAGTATGTACACTGCTATGGATAAGATCTCTCAACACACTGAATCCAGGACAGATAAACCCCTCAGGACCTATATTGAGAGCAGCAATACCATGAAGGAAGGGGAAGCGTGGAGGGAGAAGGGGAAGAAAGGGGAACCAATTGCAATGATTGATGTACAACACCCACCCCAGGGAGGATGAACAACAGAAACATGGGTGAAGGGAGACAGCGGATGGCGTAAGATATGAAAATAATAATAATTTATAATTTATCAAGGGGTCATGAGGGTGGGAGGGAAGTGGAGGGAGGGGAAAAAGAGCACCTGACACCCAGGAC